TTTTCTAGTTCATAACCTCGATTTGAAATCGGAATGTCTAGTCTGATCTCAAGATTGAGAAGATGTGTGGTGGGGAAAAGTAGACATATACACATATAAATATAAACATAATATATATGCGCATATATGCTTAGAACCGTGCTCAAGAAAGGAAAGAGAACCCCAAGCCCAAGGCAGCCATATATTTCAATGAACCATCAAGTCACGAATCAGGTAGACAAGTGGGCGAGGGCGTGAGTAATTTTATTTCTTTTTGGAGGCTTCAGCAGCCTTCTTGGCGTTTGCTATTTGATGTCCATCGGTTAGCTCGATGTTCATTTTGGCTAGCGACAGCTTCCTTCCACAAGGGGCCACATGACAGTGAGAGGGAGAGAAGAGGTACAAACAGAGGTGGATATGAATAAAATCAAGAAGAATATATTGGGGGTGAGAGCGTCAATCTGATATTTGGTACATTCAGCTTAGCATGCTGGAGAGAAGGCAGACATACCTGCTTCTTGTTTCTGGCGCATGATGGCGGCCTGGGCCTCCTTTGTACGAGCGAACTCTGTGCCAGACTGGGTGTTTTTCTTCTTCTGTTAGGGCCGCAAGAGAATGTATACGTTAGCTTTCTTGATCTGAGATGGTAGCAGTTTATGATGTTATTCCCCACTGTGAGGCAAAGATAAAAAATCCACCGACCTGCGCGGCCATCTCCTTCTGGGTTTTCTCACGCGCTTTCTCACGCTGGTTTCCACGAGCCATAGTGATGGTATGTCTGAGAAGAGCTGTCGATAGTCAGGGGTCAGTGGTCCTGGCGGTGAAGATGTGGTGGAGTTGCGATCAACGGGCGAAGAAGAGACGAATTTCAAACACACAAAAGGCAAGAGATCGATCTATACGATGACTAAGGAATTACTAATATACCGCCAATGGCACCAATACATCAGCAAAAAAAAAAAAACATTTGAACAGCCAAGATTCTAGAATAGGCCTTTCAAGTCCCTTGGACACTTTCTATATTTACTCGTTGGAATCCTCTTCATTACACAAGATTTGTTGCTCTTCCGCTTCCTTGTTCATCGTGGGCCAGATCTGCCCCCTGGCGGCTAAACCAAGGCGCCAGGGCCGTGTTGACCAATCATGCGGCTCTTACCTTCGCAGAGCTCCGCCTTCGAAACAACGACAACCTCAACTTTGTTTCATCCAAAACCTCATCCCACCTCATTGACAAGATTAGCTGCCATCCAGTCCTTCGCTTCTCGTCATGGGGTGTCGTGGTGTTAGCGGACTGGCTTCCAGGACGGCAGTCAGTCCTGCCCAATATCCCCAGTCTGCAGAATATCATGATGAAACCCGCCTTCACTGCTCAACTGCTTGTCCTGGCTTGAATATCCCTGTGACTGGTGCCTTAAAAAATATCCGGCGCCAATGGAGTCACCTTAGGAGGCCTTCACACGAGTTCTCCAGATCTGACAGAATAGAGGTGTATCAAATCATATCAACACATGGAACGAGCGGAGTGACTGTCTCCACCATGGGCAGTTGAGCCGATGGGAACTATAGCGATTGTTTCTCGGTATTCACCGTTTGCTGTTGTTGTTTCATGAAACAGCTGAGGCCTTCTCTCTTTTGCTTCATTTTTTTCTCTCTTCACTGCTCAGCGTTGCGCCCATTGTTCCATTTCTTTCTCTTTCTGCACTCTTGCCTTCGGCCTCCACCTTTCGTTCTTCGTCTGTTTCCTCTTTTCCTATCATCTATTCTCGTCCTGTCTCGAAATTTCGCGTTGTATTGGTTGTTGTCTCTGACGGCAACAACAAGCGGATTAATTATGTTCATTTCACTTCGATGCTACTAAACACTCATACTTTCCTTTCACTGATTCTGGATTGATCCTGTTCTCCTTTAATAACTTCTATCAAAGCAAGAAAAGCTTCTCCCTGCTGGTCAATTCCATACCTTTTCTGCACTTGACTCATCCGCTTTTCCTTTGCTTTTCCCAAGAGAGTTCCTGGTTCAAAGACTTTATACTTTTTATCCAGCTTCAAACCCATTTCTGGATTTCAACACCAATATCGAAATCGACCTCCAACATTACTATCGTTCCCTTTACGTGTTCTGAGCACCTTGAATTCCAACCTGGTCGCTGCATCATTTTCATCGATCGGCTGTCTACCTACGAACAATGACAGCCGTTGTCAAATCCCTGGCTGGTCCAGG